CATGCGCACGTGTGCTTATGAGATGTTGTGCAGAGCTTGTGTGACTGCACCGTCCAACCACACAAGGGAGTGGTATGAATGAACATGGGGTGTGTGCATCCACGCGCGGGACAGGCCAGGGCGGGGATACATGCATGCCGCCATAGGGTGACGAGCTATGCGACAGGCACCACACAAAATGAAGCAGCAAAGGACCATGGGAACAAACAGCAACGGGCCGACAACGAAAGCACAAGCGATGAGGGGAAGGACGAGGAGGGGAGGGGCATGGGTGTGGCAGGCAGGAGGATGTGTTCGTGGGTACCTCAGGCCTGTCTTCTGCGCTCTCAGCGAGGCGCTGCTTGATGTCCCGCGCGATGGTGAAGAATACGTTATCCACGTTCAGGTTCGACTTGGCACTCTGTGGCACGAGTGTGCGTGCATGTATGCATGCAGGCGGGTGGGGGGGCACAGGCGGGGAGGCAAGTAATGTGTGTGCATGAGTAAGTGAGTGCGTGAGTGAGAGGAGGAATGAAGCAAATCTACATTATGGGATGGGTGGTAGCGGCATCACTGGTATGGACTGGAGGGGCCAAAGGAAAGGAAAAGTACATGCTTCTGTATGCATGCCTGCATGTGCATGTGCATGTGAACATGTCCATGTGTGCACGTATGTGTGCAAATGACTGTGTGTCTGTACGCGCATCAGTATGTACATTTGTGCATGTGTGCATGTGTGCATGTGTGCATGTCTCACCGCCTCAAAGAACTTGATGTTAAACTCATCTGCCAGAGCCTGACCCCTTGCTGCTGGCACTGCCTGTTTAGGGTTACGGTTCACAACAGGGGCATACGGCATAAGAGAGGGACAGGAGAGAGAGACACGAGGGAAGACAGCGGGACGCCGGGAGTTAGAGAGGGAGGTGGAATCAATGCTAGGTGAAGTAAGGCAGGGGTGGGGGGGAGAGGATGGGGGGAGTGGAAAAGGTGGGACGGGAGGGATGAAGGGAGCACGCAGAAGGGGAAGGGAAGGGGAGCAACGGCAATGCACATATGTGCATGCGTGTGTGCACGTGCGTGTGGGTGTGTGGGTGTGTGTATGTGGAGGGGGGGGGGGGGGGGGGGAGAGGGGAGGAAGGGGTATGAGAGCAAGTGAGAAGAGTGAGAGAAAAGAGATAAAACGAGCAAGCAAGTGAGCGAGTGCCTGAGACTGAGCAGGTGTGTACCCTTTTACTCTCGTCCATGTCCGCTTTGTTCCCCACGAGAATTTTGTTGACATTCTCAGATGCATGCTGCTCTATGTTGCGGATCCAGTTGCGGATGTCTGCAGCGCACCGCACCGCACCGCACCACACCACACAGCCGGGGAGAGGAAGGGGGGACGGCTCAGAACGGCAACATGCAGTTGTGGAGTGGTAGCAGAGGTAAATAGCATAAACAACAGTACGCTGAACGGAAGTGTGGTATCAGATAGAATCAGAGATTTGCAAGCGCCAAGATGCGCAGTACATTGCTCGAAAGCCTGGGAGCAGCGCTTTTAGAAAGCATTGGAAAGCGGTGAAAGTGCAAGGTAAACGCAATCTAAGAGCTCTCATAACACAACTATGGCACAAGGGGACTCAAAGATGCACAATCTGAAGCACTACATCAAGAGGTGAGAGAATGAGAGGGCAAACAAGGGTCTGCCATGGGTCTCACTGTTGAAGGATGACTCATCCGTGACGTCATACACCAGAAGGATGCCCATGGCTCCACGATAGTAGGCTGCCATGCCATGCCATGCCATGCCATGCCATGCCATACCAAGCCACGCCACGCCATCATGCCAAGCCAGTGACACAGGGGAAAAATGATTATATTGTGTATGCACATTACATCACCGCCCACCAGCCCTTGATGTTTCCAGACCCATAAGCTCATCTCTCCACGGCCAAAGCTCATCCTTTCATCCCCATCAACTCATACACGCCACCATTCCCCAACCGACCCCTTACCCGTCCCCACTTCTGCACACCCGGCTCTCTACTGCCCGCATCCCTCTTCCCCTCCTTCTTTACCCCGGCTTCACCCCTCCTTCCGTTTTCGTCTCAACATAACCATTTCCCTTTTTAGCAACCATCCGCTCCCCCTCTACCCCCCACATACCACCCGAGCCTTTTCGGAGACTTCTCTTTCCCTGCAGTTCCCCCCCAAATTGAACTTTCACACAATATATCTCTCCCATCACTCCCCCTTCTCCCCCTGGCCCCGTCCTCTTCCCCTTCGCTCCCGCGCACCAGTGGTGATGGTGCGGAATCGCTCCTGCCCGGCGGTATCCCAGATCTGCAGCTTGATGCGCTTGCCGTCCAGCTCGATCGTGCGGATCTTAAAGTCGATGCTGCCGTCATACGCGCGTGCGCCACAGCACGGAGAGGAAGACGGAGACGCGTGGTGTTAAAGGCAGGAGGAGAGGAAAAGGGGGGAGGTGGGTTGGGGGGAAGGAGAAGGGGTGAACGAGCGGAGGATGAGGAGCAGTACAGGGAACGTGGGAGGGGAGGTCGAGAGGAGCAGGTACATTTACGTCAAGAGGGAACGAGAATCGATGTTGAAATAAAAGACGGCCAAGGGCAGCGACGCGCGACTTATGAGCACACGAAACTAAGTATTCTTAATATTTTGCACCATGAGCTTGAGATCAACGTGGATAGACTTATCAGGTATGCCTCGAAGCTGAAAGACGCACCCGTTGGTGGTTCAAGGAACAAAAAAACACTCGAAAGGTGCACCCGGGGGTGAAAAATAAACAAACTAACACTCAAGAGAGGCACCAGATGCTAGTAATAATTTCTCTGTTACACCAAAAAAAAAAAAAAAAAACGCACCCGATGGTGGTGATGAAGGACGTGGTGAAAGAGTCGTCAGAGAATCGCAGCAGCAGACAACTCTTCCCCACACCTGCGCGTCGCCCGTCGCGCGCGCCGCGACACGCGGAACGTCGCGGGTAAAACGAGGAAGAAGATGAGAATGGTTAAGAAACAGGCGAAGAGAAAAAGAGCGACCGAAAAAGTTAGGGCATGCACGGGACATACGACGCCATGGGGCAACGAATGCTAAGCGCAAGTTTGAGTGACAAGCCAAAACGAAAATAACTCGGCGCGGAAGGGAATGCGGGAAAGTGTGAGGAGAGTGGTGGGGAAGCCTCGTTGTCGTCGCGCCATCAGCGCATTTTACGATAAACAATAACTTGTTTTTTCTCGAAATTAAAAAGGAGAAGAGGATCGCACACGCGCAACTTACCGCTATCGCCTATCAGGAGCAGTTTTATAAGATAGTCATAATCGGCTCTGGCCCTCCCGCCGCCTCCGCTTGCCATAGCGCGACCAAGCGACCCCTCACGTGCGCTCTACGGCAGGCGCTGATGCGATCGCGAGCTCCGTTTGCATGCACCAGGCCCCGGAGACAACGCTTAGTATCCCTGGTGCATGCACCAGGTCTAACGAATAGAATATTGCTCAAGCAGAACTGGCTTCGCTTGCCGCAGCAACCAGCGGGGAGTTAAAACTAAAATAAATAAATAAACTAAATAAAATAAATATCGACGACTACGGGTCTAGCTTCACGGAGAACACGCGAAAGGTTACACTAGCGGAAGACCAACAGGATAGGAGCGAGGTGAGTAGTATAGCCGATAAAAAGATAGGCAAATAAGGCGCACAACACTAATAGAAATGGGAGTGGAGCGGATGGGGTGGTGATTGAGAGGAAGCGGAGCGACCTGAGGTGTGCGAGAACAAGAGAGCAATCCCAATGGACTCGCTGAGGTACAGAATAAGCCTGATACAGTACACTGTGCACTGATTTGCCATCAGTGGTACGCACGACAATCTCAGGAGGAATCAGGGGACGGACGGGCAATCCCACGAACAACCCCGCTGCTTTGCCCGCGAGGCTGGCAGGTTTGCGAGCGTCAAATGTTGGTTCGTCTGGAAGAGACCAATCAGGCGAGGTCAGGCCGTAGGTTCGGTTTTGACTGTGGGAGGCCGCAATGGGGCAGCAAAAACTGGGGAGCGGACGACCTGCCGGAGACTTGGGGAGGACTTCGAGGGAGATATGCGACGGTGCAGGTCGGTATGGAAGAAGTTGAATGGTCGGAGGAATTGGTGCGAGGAGGGAAAAAGGTACAGAAGGAGGGGAGGGAATTGAGGGTGTGATGATCAGTGATGGGTGGACTGTAGCATTGTACGGCTGATGCGCTGTACTGTAGTGCTGCGCTGGACGTCGCGACAACCACTTCCAGATTGTCGGCTTGCGCTGCGGAGTGATGCCGTGTGGCTTGGGGCATCAATCTGCACCTTCACGCCTCCTCGAGTGCAGAGCGCGGACATAGGGGGAAACCAGGACAGGCGCAATGTAGCTTCGATGTAAAGTGATTCAGGTCCTACATCCAAAAAGTACTTCTCCTACGAAATAGCTTTGAGATGGGAAACGCAAACATCACTACATGTGATGTTTTCATCATCGGACCACTATTATTTCTTTTGCCGCACAGTGCACCCCTCCACACAGCTCCGCCATGGACTCCGTCTGATGGCTTTAAACTGATATTTCGTGAAGGCCATGTGTCAGTTGGTAACATTGATTATAGATTCGGAACCGCCTCGTTATTACGAAGCTACTGGTACACTTCTCGTGTCCAACTGACGGACATTGTACCTGGAGCGTTATGGGGTTCAGTTTCATTGTCAGTTGCTAACTTCAAGGCCTTGCGGGAATCTCCTTGGGGTTTCAGCGCGTTATTGTCTAGGTGCTCCACCTGTTCAGTCGATCGTCAACAAGGTTATCAGCGTGGATGTCTGATCTTAATACCATTGGCTGACTCTGAGCAACCGGATTACGGGAGCAAACTATTTTCAAGGCTGCCGTGCTCTAGGTGTTTCAAGTTTAAGCCTACAAATAATCCTAACAATGGTGCAAGTAATGTGCTCAGACTTTGGCTGTTACCTCAGGGAGGCTTCTGGTTTCTGCCGTGTCATCATCGCACTATGTCCAGGATGACGACCAGGAACGGGGGAGTCCGTACCACTGATAATGCTGCTGGTGCTACCCTGGATAAGACTAAGGAGACCCCATTGGTTGTGGACGCTTCCGCTTCCTCGGCTGTTAAGCGTACGGCTGACTTGTTCACGGAGGCCGATAAGGAAGCTCTTCAACCTGTTGGGTCGGCACATGAGGTCAGGGAGGTAGCCTGCGATTTGCTCAACGCAAGCAACGGAGGAAAGCTGCCGACAACGGATAATGGCGTCAAGCCTGTTGTTCCCAGCGAAAGTACCGTGTTAAAGAAACAAAGGAAAGTTAGAAAGAAGAAAGAGGGGTTGGACTAGCAAGCAGTTGAGTACATATAGGAAACACTAGATTGGGCTGTACTCACTATTGAGTACCCCACTGCAGGCTAGACAAATATAACATATTCTGACACACCCCCATAGCCAAAGTGGGGTGTAATCAGCACAAGCAAGCAAAGCAAAACAAGCTCAGGGTGGATCACAATGTCACCACACATTCTGAGCACAAGTACAAGAAGCAACAGTTTAAAGTTTACAACAAAGCTAGAGACTATCACAGAGGGTAAGTAAGGAGGAGGAGGGACTATGAGAGGAGAGGAGATAGTGGGCGGCAGCTGAAGCTGCTGGCACACGGCGCAACTGGAGCAACTGGCACACGGGCAACTGGAGCAACTGGCACACTGGCAACTGGAGCAACTGGCACACGGGCTACTGGAGTAACTGGCTCTGCGGCTAACTCTGAGCGGCAGGAGCAACGGACCCACGGGCGACTGGAGCAACGGGCTCACGGGCAACTGGAGCAACGGGCTCACGGGCGACTGGCGCAACGGTCTCACGGGTGACTGGAGCTGCGGGCTTCACGGCGGCCACCCCCCTTCAACCTCCCCAAACTGTCCCACCCCCCTTTCACACACCCCCTGCTGCACCCCTAGGTTCACTCACACTCCACCCCCTAGAACCACTCCGTCGGCTCCCACACACCCACCCCCCCTCAGCGGCAGCTGCAGCAGTGGGAGACGGAGGAGGAGGAGGAGCAGGAGAGGTTGCACACCCGCCACCCCCTACTCGCCACCCCCAAACCCTAACACAGGGTAGGGCCGTAGCAGGGGCGGCAGCATGGCAGAGCCGGGCAGGGTAGGGCCGGGACAGGGCGGCAGGGCCGGGCAGGGCCGCGACGAAGACGAAAGGGGCCGTCGCGCGGCCCCCTTCTGGCCCCCCCCCGGGCGCCGCGACGGGCGACGGGAATTGGGGCCGCGCGGGCCCCCGTCGACGCCGTGACGGGCGACGAGGGGGCCGCGCACGAGCCCCCCGGGCGACAAAACCGCCGTGCGCCCCGGGGCGCGCAACGGGCAGGGCACCGCCGCGCGCCACGGGGCGCACGACGGGCAGAGGAAAACGTCGCGCGGCCCCCAGGGCAGCGCGACGGTCAGAAAACCGCCGCGCGCCTCGAGCGCGCGGCGGGAAGAAAAAAGGCCGCGCGCCAAGGGCGCGCGGCAGACAAACAGGCAGTGCGCGCCCGAGGCGCGCGATAGACAGAGTAGCAGCAGCGGAAGTATTGGGTGGGCCCATACACAGGATCGACCCGAGTGGGTCGACCTGCTCTGATACCATGTTAAAGAAACAAAGGAAAGTTAGAAAGAAGAAAGAGGGGTTGGACTAGCAAGCAGTTGAGTACATATAGGAAACCCTAGATTGGGCTGTACTCACTATTGAGTACCCCACTGCAGGCTAGACAAATATAACATATTCTGACATACCGGCACTAACCTGCATGCAGCGAAGGATGCGGCGTCAAATATCCCACCGCAGGGTGTTGATGACGAAGAGGATGATGGTTATCTCAGTGACGATCCAGAAGAACGCTACGACGCGCAGGCGAAGAGCGAAGTCGCGCAGCGGGTTCGCTTCGCTATCGTCCTGTTGATCCCAACCGCCTTCAAGTCGGAGACCACGCGTGTGCAGGCGACTCTTCGCGCGCTCTTCAACGTGTGGAAGAAAGACCTGAACATGGAGATTCAGGCAGCGACGAAGTTTCAGGAGTTGCCGGCGGTGTTCCTGAACAAGAAGCAGTACTGGAGGCTGCAGGTTACCTTTGATCGGGCTCGTGACGCCAACTTCGTGTGGAAGCATGGGATTGTGCACACCTGCGTTGACGGGAAGCGGATCAACCTGGACTGGCAGCACCCGGCGGATCCGGCTTACGTGAAGGCGCGTGCGGCTGATCCGCTGCTGGTTGAAGTGTTGTTTAAGGGGGTGGACGCGGTGATTACGCCGGAGATGCTCTGCGGCATGCTGGTGACGGTGAAGCTGGAAAAGCGCGGCCGCTCGGCTTTCAAGGAAGGGAGATGTTTCCACCGTGTGGTGAATCCTGTTACAGGGATGGACACTGACAAGGTCAAAGGGTTGGTCAAACAGCATGCGGGGGATAAGTACCGTTGGCACCATATGATCGAAGACCCGATTTCTCACGATAAGCAACTGCTGGTGCATTACCCGTCGCAGAACTGTGCTTACTGTTCGGGTTATCACATGACGAGGTATCATGATGAGTACGTGATGGACAGACAGAACAACATCAGCAACTGGAGCCTATCGCTGGGACGTGTTCATGGAATTAATGGTAATCGTGGGGGGGAGTTTTTGACTTATCTGTTCTTTTGTTGCTCGTCGTCTCCACGGGATTGTGGTGCTAACGTTGTGGGTGTGTCGACTACGTGCAGCCGCCTCAGTCAGACTCACAGATCTGACCAGGCTCATTCTGAAAGACCCCGCCGTGGTGTTGATTTCGACCGGGGGGAATCGCGAGGAGTGGATCTGCGTCCAGGAGAACTGCGAGAAGGCGAATGGGGTGACCTTCGCACAGGCTGCGGAACATGTGGTCTCTCAGCGGCACAGCGATGGTCTGGTGTCAGGCTTGGCAACACGCAGCTCCAAAGCAGGGGTCAACCTGACCGCGGCGAAGAAGGAGTTCGGTGTGTGAAGGGGTGGCCTGGTTCCATGGAAGTGGAGATGCTTGCCTGCGGTGTAGGGGAGAAAGCACAACGAGGAGTTAGAAGTAGGCGGAGATGTATCATGTGCTGTATCGACGGGAGCAATGAGTCACTGAGAGCTGTTGTTTCACCGCCCTGTGGATGCGTGGGGGCAGCGGCAAAGGTTGATTAATGGATAACACCAACCGGATAGTGTTTCTGTCCCTGAATGTCAACGGCCTGGGAAGTCTAGGAAAGCAACAAGCAGTCAAACGTTGGATCAGAACATCAGCAGACATAGTAATAATGGCGGACACAAGAATTGCGGAAGACCACAATTTCTGGACTGAACTGCGGCCCAGCAGCATGGTCGCAGTGGCAGCACCTACCAGAGCTGGCGGTTTGGCCGTCCTGAGTTTCAAGGATGGGGTACAGATAGAGGATGTTCAGCGTCACCCTTCGGGTAGACTGTTACACGCCCGGCTGAGGTGGGGGACGAGGGTGCTGCGGGTACTGGCGGTGTATTTCCCTGCGCAACCGCTACCAAGGGGGAGTTTCCTGGGCACCGCCTTCAAGGACGTTACGGACAGCCTGCCAAGGGGGGAGGATCTTGTGGTGGCAGGGGATTTCAACATGATTGGAGACCCCATACTGGACAAGTCAAACAGGCAGGGGGTGACGGGTGATAACGGCCGAATGCTGCAGATGCTAGGGGATTTCCACGCGAAGGATGTGTTTCGGGAGCTGTATCCGGACGAGAGACAGTTTACTTTCTACTGCAAGTCGGCGAAGGTCAGCTCGAGGATTGACAGGGTGCTAGTGTCCCAGTCCATGCTGCACCTGGTGATGGAGGTGAAGCACAAGAAGGTGCCGGTGGGGATTACAGACCATAAGTTCGCAGTGAGGTTGAGGCTTGGGTGGAGGGGCCCGCGTGAATCAGGTCCGGGGTTGTGGCGTTTCCCGGCAAGGCTGTTGAAGCGGCCAGGAGTGGCGAAAGCGATTGCGGAAGTGGTTCGGAAGCACCGAGAATAGGCTGTGGTGACTTCGACAGGTTGACGAGGGGCTTAACTGCGAAGCTGAGGAAGTATGACAAAGAGGAGAGGAAGCGGGTGAAGCTCACGAGGGGTATTCTGGAGGAGCAAGTAGAGCAATTACAACACAAGGTGATGGCTGACCCCTACGACGATGAGGTGCAGGCGCTGCTGTCCAGCCGGGAGGCGATGCTGCAAAGATATTGGGATGGGAGGAGGAATTTGATGCAGTTAAGGACAGGGCTCAAGATACGGCTGGATGGGGAAGCGCCAACGAGTTTCCTGACGGCGCTGGTCAAGAGTAGGAAGGCAAGAATGGGGATAAAGGAGTTGGTGAGAAATGGGGTCAGCCACACAGAGGCACGGGAAATACTGGGTGCGGCTACCTGTCATTTCAAAGAGGTGTTCGATGAAGCGCCGGCAGGTGGTACCGAGCCAAGGCTGGAATGGTCGCCGAGGAAGACGCTAGACGTGGTGGCTGCAGAGAGCCTGACGAAAGACTGGTCAGAGCAGGAGGTTAAGCAGGCGCTCAAAGAGCTGGCGAACGACAAATCACCAGGATGGGACGGGCTGCCCAAAGAGCTTTTCCAGCGGCATTGGGAGTTGCTGTGGGAGCCGATGATGAAGATGATCGGGGAGTTCACCGCGACAGGGAAGTTGCCGGATGCGGCAAATGAGGCGGTCACTATACTGCTGTACAAGAAAGGTGCGGAGACGGACATAAAGAATTACAGGCCGATTACACTGCTTTCAGGGGTGTACAAACTCCTCGCGAAAGTGGTAGCGACGAGGATGAAGGCGGTGCTGGGTCAGGTGATCTCAAAGGAGCAGTACGGCTTCTTACCTGGGAGGAGGTTAACGGACGCAGTGTCGATGGTAGCTGATATGATTGAAGCAGGCCGGAACGAGAACAGTGACTGGTACCTACTCCTGATCAACTTCGAGAAGGCATACGATTCAGTGCGCAGGGGCTTCATGATGGACACAGTCGCCAAGCTGGGCTTCCCGCCGAGATTTGTATGGTGGATAGAGGCCCTGCACAGAGATGTTCACACAAGGCTGTGTGTTAACGGCTGGGTGGGAGAGCAAATCGAGATGAGGAAAGGGGTGCGCCAAGGCTGCCCACTGGCGCCGTACCTTTTCTTGTGCGCGGTGGAGCCACTGAACCGGTTAGCAAAGGAAAGGAAGCTGGGAATCGGGGAAGGTAACTGCGACAGGCTGTCATATGTGGGGTACGCGGATGACACGACCTTGCTGTTGGAGGGAGAGCAGCAATTGAAGGATGCGGGCGTGCTGCTGCAAGAGTACGCGGAGGTGTCGGGGCTGAAAGTGAACAAGGGGAAGTCTGCGGTCCTGCCGTTAGGGAGGAATGTGGGACAACAGGCACCAGGGGATACGGAGTACAAGTGGGTGGGGGCAAACGAGGTTGAAAGGCTTCTTGGAGTGTGGATCTCCCCCGGGGGGGACGCGGAGGCAACGTGGGAAAAGGCCTTTGACATAGCGGCAGGAGAACTGAGCAAGTGGAGCAACAAGTATCTCACGACAGGAGCTCGGGTGACCATCATCAACAGCTACGTCCTGCCGATCTTCCTCTTTCAAGCGCAGGTGTACCCGCCGGACGACCTGCTGTGGCGTAGGGTGGAGAAGTTGATTGAAAACTTTGTGTCCGGTAATCATGCAGACACAGAGCGGCACTTCAGGCTCTGGAGCGGGGATCTGATATACACGCAAAGGGAGCAAGGGGGACTGGGGGTGATAGATCCGAGGGGGAGAATCGATAGTGTGGCGATGAGGTGCGCGGGAATGGCGCTGCAGCAGGAATGCTCACTAAGAAGAGGTTTGTCGGTGAAAGCGGCAGGCCTACCTCTTGGGTGGGCGACGCTGTATGCACATAAGGCGGTTCTGAGAGGAGGCTTGTTTAAAAGCAGGAGGTGGGCAAGGCTGTGTAAGACTTTGTTAAAGTCAACGGTGGTGGCAGTACCAGGGGCGGCGTCTAGGTGGGATGCAGAAGAGGAGTTTCTGTGCTATAACAGGCACATCATTCACTGCGGTGACGCCCCGTTCGGTGGGCAGAAGGGTACGGAGAAGCTGAGAAAGTGGTGAATGCGCGACATGGTGCAGAGGAAATGGGATGGCACAAGGACGCTTAAGTCGGAGGTGACACTGGCAAGGGAGTTGGGCGGGAACAAAGAGGCGGAGATGGCGCTGAAGGCGTTCAACGCGGCACCAGAGCGGTGGCGACAGTGGCTGTTGGCGCCTCTGACGGCGGAGGAAGTCGCGGCAGAATCATCGGTGGTGTGTACCAGGCTTCCAAGCGGACAAAGGTGTCTCTGGGAAATCTGCGGCAAGATGGGCAAAAAGGTGGAGCTTCGGGGGCTCAGCGGCAAAGGAGAGCGCACGTCGTGGGATGTAAGGCTGGTGCTGTGCTGCGACAGTGTGGTGCCGGCGAGGTTATCCCGTGAGCAGGCGATACGGGAGGCCGGGGATCCAAGGGCTCGGTTGCTCAGCTCATCGCTATTCAAAGAAGAGGTGGTGGTTCCAGTGAGGGAACTCAGAGAGCCAAGCAAGGGGATAGAGGCGGTGGAAGGGAAGAGGTTGAGCTGGGAGGCCCGGGCGGGCAGAAAAATTGACTGGGAGAGGAGCAGGAGGGTCCGGGACTCTTTGGTGGTTCCGGCCAAGGCGAGAGATGTGCTCCTCCGCGTGCACAACCTCAACTTGCAAGTGGGGGAGAGGGTTTCGTTTGTGAAAGGGGGGGTGGCATGCCCGAACTGCGGGCTGGAGGAGACGTTGGAACATTGTTTGCTGGAATGCAGGAGTGTGGCACCAGTGGCCCGTGCTGTCAAATCGGCGCTCAGCATGATGCAGCTAGCAAGGCGGGTTGACAGGTTGGCAGATTTTGTGTTTGGGGAAGAGGAAACGAAGTCCGGTTTTCCCGAGGCTACAATGGTGGCGGTGGCGATGCACCAGGTTTGGTTGGGAAGGTGTGATGTGTCGCTTCGTAAGGGGAAGAGGTTCCAGGCACGGAAGGTGCTCAGGAGGATTAATGTCGAGTTCAACAAACATGCGAGAATCTACTGTGGCAAACCGAGCAAGCAGGCGAGGAAGGATAAGGCGAGGTGGAACTTGGCGGAGGATGAGGCACGTGTCATGCGGCGGATATGCGTCAGCGAGGTAGTGGGGTTGAAGTGGCAAGGTGATTTTCAGTCTATCTGGTCGAACCCGAGGACCTTTGTGAAGCCACCGTAAAGCTGTGGGGAGGGCCAGGCGAAATTTCGTCAGCCTGATCCCAGTTCATCAGTTACGACTGAAGTGTTTTGCTTGTACTGAATTGTGTAAGCTTTCACTAAAAAAAAACAAGAGTCGACAAGTCGTCCTAGGGTTGCGAAGCGTTGTGCAATATTTCACACCATACAATATCATACAATATTATATATAGTATCGAATGTTGTTGTAACAGGTTTGGCACTTAATTTTGAATTGCGTCCGCATGGAAGAACGCTCGCGCGCAAGTATCGAACCTTCCACTTTTAGATGCCATAATCATCTTCGATCGACTGCGCTTGAAGCTCCGTTGTGAATCCGTGTTTTGAATTATAGTAAAAGTTTGTTTGCGACGAATATGCAATCTTTAGGGTTTGTTCCCCGTCACTTTCTACTCTCTTCCTCTCTTTGTTTCTCTTGGTTTGCTCCGGCTTCCCAAGCTCCACCTTCCCAAGCTTCCCAAGGTCAGAAGTTGTTCTACTAATG